GGCTGGTGGCACTGACATTGCAGTTCTTCTTGAGCAGCTTGTTTCTGTCTTGCACACACAGCCAGAGGGGTTGAGGAAGGATGTTTGTAGTGCTGAGCTGGGATCCCTGTGGGGCAACAACATACCGCGGGGCAGATGGAAACATAACTGTTGCACTAATTCCCTGCAAAATCCAGAGCAGTATTTCTCAGCAGAAGCAGCTCCCTAGGAGTAGGGAGTAGACATATTTGTTCTTCTTAAATAGTTCATGCTTGACACTTGGCAAGCTTAGCTCCATCTGGACAGTATGAAGTGGGCAGCTGGGGACACGGTACCACCATAGGGTGCCTCTGAAATATATCAGTGAGTAAAAGCTGTAACAAAATCTAAGAGAAGAGGAGGTTGGTGGGTTTTACTTGTCCTACACTGGCCCTGAGGTCGTTCCACAGTGCTGGGTTGCCTGTTTAAGTTGTTTTACTCCTGAAGAGCCTCCAGTCTAAAGCTGCCATGGTGCTAAATGATTTTCACAGCATTGTTTTACCAGCTTTAGCTAGGGAGCCTCCTGCATCACTTCACAAGGAAACAGCATCTTGGACAAGTTTGCTGCCTTGCCTGGGAGTAGATGAAATGTTAGTAGCTCACAGATTTGTGTCTGACACATAAAAGCTTTGATAACCTACCCCTTGGAGGTGGATGGGGTTTTGGATACCCAAGGATGAACCAGAGCCAGCCTGGGGTAAAAGGGAGACATCTGGGTCGTCTTTGTCTGCATGGGCAGAGTTCAGCATGGTGCCGAGAGCTGCTGGAAATGGAACTGGTCCTGGCACTCGAGGAAAGCATGTTGAGGTGTGCATCAAATCAAGACTAAGGAACTCTAGTCTCTGCTCCCTGTTTGTTTTCTGGGAGACCAGAAGGCAGTTTCTTGTCCTAAAGGTAGCCTTAATTATTAATTAGCTCTTCAAGTGCTCTTCAGTTGCACGTTATTGAGGTACCTGCATTTGAGGTGGGTTTGACTGGAGCTACGTGTGCAGGTTTCCTGCAGAGGGAATGCTGATAGGAACCACCATGGCAAGAGGGGAGCGTCTCCAGGCTTCCTCCTCCTTTTCCTTCTTGTCCTGGCAGCAGGGCCCTGGGACTCTCCCTGGCTAGGTCCCTGACACCCTCTAGTGGCAATATTTACATTTAATATTTCAGGAGCTTTCAAAACTTGGCAGGCGTTGTGAGCACTCTGTCCTTAGCAGCCCACCCACGGCCAAGTACCTGTCCCAGTGCCTGCTGCAGTAACTTGTGGCTTGGGGGCTAATAGGAAATGCTGTATTTCTTGACTTTTTTTTTCAGTGCTCTAAGTACAAGATCAGTGCAGTTGTTGGCTGTGGCCAGGCTCAGCATACTGGCTCACGGATGGCGGTAGTGCAGTGGGTTTGCTCCCAGAAAGTGGTTTTCAGCCACTTACTGTCAAACTTAACTGTGAAGCTGGAGAGAGAGGAGCTTTGGTGATGCCTCTGGGGGGTTGTGACAGCTGCAGAGATGGACTTGTTTTAGAGGGCAAGGAGGGTGCAAGGATGGACACTGGGGGAAGTGCAAGGCAGGCTACCTGGATGGCACATTGAGAAGAGGGGAGAAACAAGCAGGAGCTGGGTGAGCAGGAGCAGATGAGATGATGTGTCCTACAGCACCCCTCTTGGCTCTGATTCAGGTGTGGACTCACTGCGATGACTCTCATCTAAGCTTACCCGTGTTTTCAAGTGGAGTTCAGCTTGCAGAGTGCCCCCAGAAAGCCTGGTGCTCCCCACGGCAGGTGGCTGTAGCATGAGTGTGGGCAGCTCGGCAGCATGATGGCTGGCAGTGGAGCCAGGGCTCCCAGGTGAATGCCACAGGGTGAGTTACTCATGTCCTGATCTGCAAACTGATATCCTTGAAGCCTGAGCAGGATATCTGAGTTGGGAGGAACTTCTCTGTGATAACACCTCCCCCAGGTGTGCTCTCGTGCCCTGGAGAGCGCCTTTGTGGTGTTCCTTGCTTGCTTTTCTCTCCATGACTTCCAGGCCTGATCTTTTCCAGTCTGATGGGATAAGCCATGCCTGTAGCCCTCTTGTTGGTGCAGGCCAGCAGACTCTGTACCTTGGGATGATGCTCTGGCAGGGGGTTTGGACTAGATGATCTTTCAAGGTCCCTTCCAACCCCTGACATTCTGCGATTCTGTGAGCCCCAGCAGACCCGCGGCCCCGCTGCGGGAGTCCCCAGTGCTCTGCAGCACTCAGAACGAAATGCTGGTTGGGCTTCTGAAATGAGCTGTGACCTGCTGCCATGTTTGGCTGCCTCTTGAGAACCGCATTTTCCCCTTCCTCCTATCTGTTTCCCCCCCTCCCCAAACCTGGTACCCGAAGCGCATCTCGCAGTGCAACTAAAAAAGTTGTTTGTGCATCACTGGCCAAGCGCAAGAGCGGTGATGCGAAGCGCGGAGCGTTGCCGCTGGCCTGGACAGCTCAGGGCTCTTGCCTGTCCCTCCCTACATCTGATGCTTCAGAAACTGGGCTTTCATTTGGCCGGTGGGTCTCTAGTCCTCCTGGTTAGGAAGGTGTCACTGACCAAATGTATGTGTTTGCCAGGCTGATTTAAGACAAAGGCTGTGTGCGACCCAAAAGGTCTTACCTGTTCCTCTAATGAGGAGGATCTTGGTTGCCTTTTTTAACCAGAAGAGCAGGAAGAATTCATCACAGCATGAAATTAGACTCTTTTACAGCATGCTGCCGCCTCCTGATTTCTCTTTGGGAATGCACTTTGCAGTAGCTTGCCCATATGATGTAAAAGATGCTAACCCTCCAGCCACGTTATGACCTGGAAGTACAAAGTCACGGT